TAAAGCAGTCCCTTTAACATTTCTTGCATTGCCGGGTTGGTGATAATGTACTTCTTTAACCTCTTTTTGTCTGGAAAGCTTTTTATTTCACACTCAATTTTAAATGGTAGCCTTACTAGATACAGTAGTCTTGGATTTAGTTGCATTTAGGCCCTTGCTTTTTAAAAAAATATATATTTTATTGATTTTTTTACAGAGAGGAAGGGAGAGGGATAGAGAGCCAGAAACATTGATGAGAGAGAAACATCCATCAGCTGCCTCCTGCACACCTCCTACTGGGGATGTGCCTGCAACCAAGGTACATGCCCTTGAACGGAATCAAACCCGGGACCCTTGTGTCCGCAGGCCAATGCTCTATCCACTGAGCCAAACCGGTTAGGGCTAGGCCCTTGATTTTCATTACTTCGAGTATTTCATGCCACTCCCTTCTGGACTGAAGTGTTTCTCTTGAGAAGTCAGTTGATATTCTAATGGGAACTCATCTGTATGTAATTTTCTCTCTCTATCTTGCTGCTTTTTAGATTCTTTCACTGTTTTAACATTTGCCATTTTAATTATGATGTATCTAGGTGCGGGTCTCTTTGGGTTCATCTTTATTGAGACTCTCTGTGCCTCCTGAACTTGTGTGGCATTTTCCTTCACCAAGTTGGGGAACTTTTCTGTCATTATTTCTTTAAACAGGCTCTCTGTTCCTTGCTCATCCTCTGTCCTTTCTGGTATTTCTGTAATGTGGATGTTGTTATGTATCATGTTGCCCCAGAGCTTCCTTAAGCTATCTTCCTGCTTTTTAATTCTTTTTTCTATTTGATGCTGTAACTGGGTATTTATTTCTATGTTGTCTGCCAAATTGCTGATTTGGTCCTTTGTTTCATCCAATCTATTTTTAATATCTTCCAGTGTGTTCTTCATGTCAGATATATCATTTTTCATTTCTGTCTGGCTCTTGTTCATGGCCTCTATTCCCCTTCTCATGCTGTTGTAATTTGCACTAAGTTCCTTAAGCATCTTTATAATCATTGCTTTGAACGCTATTTCTAATAGGTTGCTTGCCTTCATCTCATTTAGTTATTTTTCTGAAGCTTCTTTCTTTTCTCTCATTTGAGGGTTGTTTCTTTGTCTTTCTATTTTAGCTGTCTCTTTATATTTGCTTTTATGTGTTAGATAGAACTGCTATGCCTCCCAGTCTTTGTGGGATGGCCTTACGTAAAAGGTGTCTTGAGGAGTCCAGTGGTGTAGTCTCTTTGTTCACCTGAGCTGGATGCTCTAGGAATGCCCCTTGTGTGTGTTGTTTGGGTTTTCCTGCTGCAATTGGAACTTGATTGATGATGCCCTGTTTGTGGGAGGGATCTCCCTTCTGACTTGCTGCCAGTGAGTTTCAACCCCAATGTTCATGCCAGCTATCCAGTGGTTGGGGACTCCTTAGCCCAGAGGTCTGCCTTGAATCTCACACCTTGATTGACCCTGTTCTGGGCTCTAGTTTCTTCCCACATGGAGCTGCTCCCACGGTTGTCAGCTGCAGGTGCTTGGGGTCCTGCTGGATTTTGCCTAGCTGAGCAGTCTGGGATGGTGTCTGCAGTGGGGATCCAAGTCTCTCTCTCTCTTTTCTTTTTTTCCCAAGTCTCTTAATGGGCCTCAGAAACTCCACAGGAGGGGCAGGGGATTTTCCAATAGGGTTCATCAACTGTCTTTCCTCCAGGTAAAAACAGCAGGATAGCACAGGTTTGCCTGAGAAAGATGACCTCCACAGCATGAGGGAGTGACTCAGCACAGGAATCTGGGTATCTGCCTTCTGAGTTCTATCACTGGATCCCCCAACCATGGCTTGGGTTTATACAGCTCCAGCCCACTCTGCCCTCCCTCTGCCAGAGCACAAGGTGAGTGGCTGCACACAGAATTTTGTGTGTTGGCCCTATGAGAGGGTGCCTGCATTTATAGCTATCTCTCCCTGGCAGACATCAATCCTGCTGTTTTTCACAGCCAGATGTTATGTGGGCACCTTTCTCAGTTCTAGTGCTCTCTGCTGGGGGTCCCAGCTTGGGAACTAGGCTCCAAAGTTCTCAATGGCAACCCCCCCAGCTGAGATATCTATCCAATACTTCAGCTGTCTGTTGGAGCCCACATGCCATTTCGTGCCTCCACTCTTCCTATGCAATCTTCACTTTCTATCCTTGGTTATCAGGGTTCTCTCCAGAGAGTCTTCAGTTGATCATTTAGGAAGTTTGTCTGTATTTTAGTTGTAATTCTAGTTTGGTCCTGGGAGCATGTTTGTGAGCTTCCACTTACTCCACTGCCATTTTTAATCTTCCTAAATCTTTTAAAATTAACTATATTGTATAGATTTAACATAATGTATTTAATATTTCCTTTATTGATGGACATTTTATATTGATTCAGTTCTTTTAAACCTTTACAAGCACTTATATTGTGAAATTGTTTATGTGTATAGGCTGGCATATTTCCTAGGAATACAATTGCTGGGTTAAAGACTTTGTGAGACATTGATACAGGGTTTAGCAGAAGTAGGTTTACATTTGTGAGCATGAAAAACAGAGTTTATTCTTTTTAAAAAATATATTTTTATTGATTTCAGAAAGGAAGGGAGTGAGAGACAGAAACATCAATGATGAGAGAGACTCATTGATTGGCTGCCTCCTGCATTCCCCCTACTGGGGATTGAGCTCAAAACCCAGGCATGTGCCCTTGACTGGAATTGAACCTGGGACCTTTCAGTCCGCAGGCTAGTGCCAGGGTTTATTATTGAATTGTTTCTTTTTTAAAAAATTATTTATTGTTTAAAGTAGTACATAAATCTCCTTTTTCTCCCATTGGCCTCTCCCTGGCTGCTCCCACCCTCTAGCACATGCCCTCACCCCCCTACTGTCTGTGTCCACTAGTTATGCTCATATGCATGCATACAAGTCCTTTGGTTAATCGCTTACCTGCCCCTGCCCCTGCCCCATACTTTTTTTAATTATTGTATTATTTTCTATATGAACACCTGTAAACCTACTTTTGCCCCACCCTGTATTTACTATTCAATTGATTTTGCCAAATTGTTCTCTGGTAAAAGACTGTATCAGAGTATCTCCTTCCAACAGAGTATGGGAGTACCCATTTCCCCACAAACCAGTCAACAATATCATCACATTTCTAAATTTTTACAAACTCCTAGCTGAAACATGGTAATACATAGTTGTTTCAATGTGCATTTCTTTGAAATTGTCTTTTCATATTTTTTATCAATAATTTATATTTCTTTTCTGTGAATAAACCCATTCATGTCATGGGCATATTTTTTCTATCAAGTTGTTTATTATTTTATTAGTGATTTATAAGAGTTTTTTGATTATTATAAATTAGCCATTTGACATCCTATGCTTGGGGCTTTGTTTGTTTGTTTACCTTACTGAAGTTTTAAATGTTTATTTAATCGATTTCTGAATCTTTCCCTTGGGTGAAGAACATAAGTTAGTCACGGGCAATTGACTTCTGAAAAGCCATTAATAAGTTTCTATGTTACTCTGGGCTCCTGGCTCACCTCCTAGAGGGGCCCTCCTACACACAGGGGCCTTTCACATGAGGAGCTTCCTACTGGGGTGTCATATTTCAAAGTTCAAAGAAAGAGGCTGCCTGAATGGTCTATATTTAGGGTATGACTCCCCAGTGGGGACAGCTGGATGTCTAGAGACTAATTTCTGCATACTCTGTCCCTAAATTCTGGGATTATTCTGAAGGGTTTGAATGGGTGGTGCAGTGAAATTGTAACAAAAGGCCTCTTTTACCTGGAAACTGCTTGGGCTCTCATAAACGGTGCTTTCTGTGAGGGAAAAATGACATGGGTCTCTGAGGTGTTGCAGTAATTTACAGACACCACAAACTCACTGCTACCTCTACTGGAACATGCTAAACACTAACTACTGCTAGGGTGATATAGCACATGAATGACAGATAGCGGAGATAACACACCAGCATCATGATTAAATGAAAACTCCACATACTAAGCCTCATTTCCATCAATGGGGTAAGCAGTTGGTCCAGGGTGTGATGAGACAGACTACTTTGACCACATGCTTATGTGAAAACTTCAAATGAAACCTCTTGAATGGAAAACTGGTAAATCAAGGAAATCACTAGTTTTCAGGCACTAGGCTAATCTGGAGCTGGATCTTTATTCAATCATCCAGGAGTCATATATGAAGAAGTTCTCAGACACCTGACACAAGAGAATAAGTTCAGCCAGAACTTCAAAAGACTGTGAATCACTTGTGGAAATCTGCCAAGATTAGAAAACTGAGTGTCTTTCCAAAGATTAATTTATAGATCACACTAAAAACGTGCTAATTTTGTTTAGGAAAATTTTGTATTTAAAATGTCAATAATTACTAGTCTGTTTTGAAAACCGAAATCGTTTATAGCAACTACAAAACATTTTTTAATGTGGTGTAAAAATAATGTAAAAAAAATGAGTCTTTTGTTATTTTTACGACCTCATTTCTAAATGTCAAATGAAAATGGCTTGACTGAATTTCCGGATTTACAAAAACAATGAATGCAATGTTAAAAGAAAAAAAAAGGAGCATAAGAAGAAAGTTAAGCCTCTCCTTCCACTCTCTGCTTCCTTTCCTGACCGCCCTTTCTTAGCCTTGTTTGGTGCAGCAAGCTACTGGATTGGGAGCATCATTCCTATAGTCTAAGGGAGAGGGGATTCCTCAAAGAAGCGTCTGGTCAAGGCCTGGGAGTGGGTGGGGGGGATGCAGACCCTCGCAGGTAACCAAGGAAGAATAAATCCCAACTGCAGGGAGGTGAGGCCACTTGTAGGCTCTCAGGTTTGAGAGGACCCAACTGAGTGACAGGGAGGTACAGCAGAGACTTGGAGGGGGAGTTCTGCGTTCGGAGTGGGGGGAAGACCCTGTCAAACTCCTCTCTGGCCAGTGGGAACAGGGCGGGGGGAGGGTGGGAGCGCGAGAGCTCCTTGGTGACGCAAGCCCTCACGTGACCAAGAGCTGCAGAGCGACGCAGCCTGCGGTGCAGTCATCACACCCTTCTGGGTACCAGCTCCCCGCTGCCCTGCGCAGGCAGGCTGGCATCGGGCCCAGGAAAAGCGGAGCAGGTAAGGGCTCGGGACGCGTGGGGCCCAGGGTGGCAGCCGCGCCGCAACCCCAGTAGCTGCAACCAGGGGTGAAGGACAATGCGGATTCAAGTATCAGGAGCCTTCCCTCTGAATCTCCCGAACCCACTCCCCCTGTCTAGTGTGTGGAGGGGAACCTTGGGTTTGGCTGGTGGGTGTCTCAAGAGGGAAATATCAAGATTGAGATGCTCCTTCCTCCCTGACTCTAATCACTGACCGCTCATGTTTGTTCAGCTTCCTGCTCATTTCAGTGGAAGGGATTTGCACGGTGGTGTTGGCAGAGAAAATGGTGGGCTTTGGTAACTGGATGCCTTGCGTTGGTGGGGAAGGCTTACCTGAGTGTTGGGAGGGAAGTTTGATAACTAGGGTCTGTATTCAGACAGGTTGAGTATTGGGATCTGTGTCCAGGGTGCTGGTGCAAGCACCCAGTGCCTTTATTCCTGTCTTGTGTAGCTCGGTGTTGCACAGTTTGTGGCGAGGCAAAGGAAGGAGTAGAGAAAGCTGCATAGGATCTGTGAAGGTTAGTGTGAGCATGGGCACTGGCTGTGAACCACCCCAAGTGTGATGTGAATTCTATATGACAGGGATTTCGGCAGCCACTACCTAGTTGGAATAAGGGGTGAAGCTAGCTAGGGAACTTTCCTTAAACTGCATCTATTTACCAAGCTTAGGGCTTTAAACTTAAATTTTATACTGAAGGCCAGTAAAGATAGAAAATTTTTCTATGGATGACTTAATTGGTACTTCAGATAATATTGAGAAGATACAAATTGTTGTATTAAGGAGCATTACTTATTTATTTTATTTTTTTTTTAGAAAGAGAGATAGTAAGTTTTCCGTGGAGGAATAGTGATTTTGCAAAAGCAAAAGCTTCCCCCGACACCTTGTCTCTTCTACTGCTGGAGACTCCTAGAGATGGGTTTAAGGGAAAGTAGATAACAGTAGGCTATGGTGATTCTATAGTATGGGATCCGGGGGCTTCCATCTCTCTCACCATCCTTCAGTTTTCAGATACCCTGCCAGCCTGAACATCTTGGTGAAGGAAATGATGGACTTTTGGAAGAAGCCCTAGAATGCTACAGGTGGTTTTAAAAAGATTTTGCCCATGCCACTCCCCTTTTATTTTTTCCTGCCTCCCTTTCTCACCCTTCTTACTTCAGTACTGGGGAGGCCCAAGGTTCTGCCTGCCAGGGAATGGGTCTCTAAATCCAATAAGAGGGGGTACTGAGACCTGTGTCTTAATTACTGAAATGCCACAAGCACTCAACATTCACCTTTCCCTTTTTTCTCTTTGTTCCTAGATCTTCCCATACATCTGCAGTAGGGCTGTTTACCACTGGAAACAAGGGAGAGGGGGAAACTTGTCTAGAACCGTGGAGGTTGGTGTGATGGTGGGCAGTGTCTGAGAGGGTGGGAACAGAATGTGGCTGGTACTTAGGGGGACTAAGTAGATGGCACTTCTGCTTCTCCTACAATCTGCCAGATTTCCACAGTGTTGCCATACCCCATATTGATTTCAGTGCAGGAAACATTTTGGGATATTGGGGTAAAGGTGGGCTGGAGTATGACTGAAAGAAGAGGAGAGGGGAGACCATAAAATGGGACACATTAGCCAACTGGATCCAAGCTCTCTGGCAAGGCAGGTACTGGGGTCAGGGACCAGGGTGCTTGTGTGCTCTATGAAGGATTCAGTCTCTATTACCGCCTGTTTTATTTATTCATAGATCTACCTGCAGGTTTGCTGCAGGGCTTGAGATGACTGGAAGCAAAGAAACAAGGAGGAAATTGCCCCTGATCAGTAGAGACTGGTAAGAGAAAGGTCTGCCTGGGTAGACCTCTAGGGTGGGTTGGTAGAAACCATTGTGTATCCAGTAGGTCCAGTGTCAAGTCTGGAGGATCCTCAGTCTCTCCCCTTTCCAGGCAACTTTCCCACCATTCCTGTCACTTACCCCACACCCTCACTTTAATTTTGATACAGGGAATGGGGTGAACTGAGGGAGATAGATAGTTTGCTAATAATATGCCAGTCACATGAAGAGCAAAATCTCAACTCCCATCTGTCCTTCCATCTGTCTTTCTGTCTGTCTGTCTCTAGGTCCATAGATCTCATGAGTATATAGACCTACTTTCGGGTGTATCACAAATCAAGAGAAGGAAAGAGGAGGGAACTGCTTTGGATCAATACAGGTTGGTATGGGGATAGGGACCTGTGGGAGTGGTGACAGAGTAGGTCCAGTAAAAAATCAAGGTCTGAGAGCTTCTCAGTCTCTCCCACTCATAGTCAGTCCTTCCACCATTCTTTTCCACTATTTATTTGGTGTAAGGAAATGTCTATGAAAGTACCTTGGGCAAAATTGTTGGGTACTAGGGAAAATGGGGAGGTGATAAAAAAGGGGGGATGGAGAGAGAGTTTGCTAATGCTTCTCTTCTCCAACTAAGCACATTATTTCTACACTTTCCTGTCCTTCTGTGTATCTGTCTGTATGATGCATAGAATTAGAAGAGAAATTTTAGTCCATTTCCTTCCTCCACTTCTAGGTCCACCTCCAGTGACAGCTGTAGTGGCCTTTGAGCTGAAGACCAGCACCCTTACAGACCTATCACACTCTTTCCCCAGCCCTTCTGATCCCCCTTACCTTATTTGTGGCATCAGCAGGGGTGATTACATGGGTCGCATTCAGGAAGTGGGCTGGGTGACTGCAGGACTGGTGATCTGGGCTGGTACCTGCTATTACATTTACAGATTAACCACAGGAAGAGCCCAGAGTATGAGGAGACTTGCCAGCAATGGGTCTAGAGTCAAGATGGAAACTGTGGCTGGTGTACAGACCCAGACCTTGGCTACGAGTGAAGCCATGGATGGGACAGAGATTGAGACTAGATCCAAGGTCAAGACTGGAGCAGAAACTGGAACAGGAGGTGGGGCTGGGGCTGATATAGAGATGAAGGCCACTGCTAGAGGCAGACCCAAAGCCAACTCTCAGGCCAAGGCAATGGTTGGGGCAGAGGCAGAGGTCCAGTCTGAGGTCAAAACAATGGCTATGACAGAGGCAGTGACTCTGGCTGAGGCCAAAATCAAAGCCAAGGAAATGGCCATGAAAGAGGCAGTGACTCAAACTGACTCTGAGGCTGAGAGAGTAGTCAAGAAAGAAGCAGTGACCCAGACCAAAGCTAAAGCTTGTGGACTATTTGCCAGGGCAGAGGCCAAGAAAGAAGCAATGACCCAGACCAAAGTGGAAGCTCATATATTTGCTGAAAAAGAGACAGAGTTGAACAGAGTACTGGTGACACAGAATGAGGCCTTGGCAATAACCAGGGAAGTAGCCAAGATGAATGCCATAAACAAGACTGGAATTGTGGCTGAGACCAAAGCAAGAGCCCTGGAAGAGACTATGAATGTGGCCAAGACTCAGTCTGAGGCAAGGTGTGGTACCACAGTTGATGCTAAGGGAAATCTTAATACCATGTCCAGGGCAGGAGCTGGAATGGATATAAGGTCTTATGCACCGTCTCAGGCTGTGGCCAAGATCCAGGTTGATGACATGCCTTGTGCTGGGCTTGAAGACAAGGGAAATTGCAAAATTATGTGTCAAGCAGAGTCTGGGGCAGACATGAGGACTTCTGCCCAGACTCAGATTATAACCAAGGCTCAGGCTGAGACCATGACTGGGGTAAGGGTTGATGCTGGGGGTAATACCAATGCCATGTACAAGGCAGGAACAGGGATAGATATGAGAGCTTCTACACAACATCAGACTATGACCACAAAACAGGTTGAGGCAATGTCTGATGCCAGGGTTGATGAAAAGGGAAATATCAATGTCACAACTAGGGCAGTGACTGAAGCTCACATGAAGACTGTTTCTCAGCCTAAGACTATGCCTGATGCCAGGGTTAAGGATAGAGACAATTCTAATGCCATGTCTAAAATGGGGGCCAAGGCAAACCTGAACGTCAATTCTCAGGTTGAGGCTTTGCCTGATTCCAGAGTTCAGACCAGGGGTAATCCCAATGCCATTTCTAAGTTAGGGGTTGGAACAGATATGTTGTCCTGTATACAACCTCAATCTATGGCCAGTGTCCCAGGAGATGCCTTGCCTGATGGTAAGATTAATGCTGAAGGCAATGCCAACACAATGTCTAAGGAAGGGGCTGGGACAGACACAAAGGCACAGTCTCAGGCTTTTGCCACAAGCCAGGTTGAAGCCTTACCTAGTACTAGAACTAAGGCTAGGGGCAAAGCCAAAGGCAAAAGAAAGGCCAGGGTCAGGACAGACATGAAAACCTATGCACAGCCTCAGGGTGGGGCCAAGTCCCAAGCTGATGACAGGGGAGACCCTGACGCCATTTCTAGGGCAGGGGCTAAGGCAGAAATGAAGCCCTGTGGTCAGCCTCAGGCTATGGCCAATACCCAGGATGAAGCCTTGTCTGGTATCCAGAATAATCTCTGGGGTAATCCCAAAGCTGTGTCTAATGTAGGGGCTGGGCCAGACACAAATGGCTCTGTCCAGCCTCAAACAGATATAACACAATCTGCTTGGCCACAGGCTGTGGCCAATTCTCAGGGTGAGGCCTTACCTGGTGCCAGTAATAAGGTCAGGGGAAATCCCAATGCTGTGTCTAAGACAGAGACTGGAGCAGATACGGCAGGTTCTGCACAGACCCAGGATCTTTCAAATTCCCAAGGCAAAGCCTTGCTTGGTGCCAGGAATAAGAACAGGCGCAAACCTAATGCTGTGTCTAAGTCAGGGGCTGGATCAGATGCAGTTGGCTCTGCCCAGCCCCAGGCTGTGACCAATTCCCAAGAGGAGGCCTTGCCTAGTGCCAAGAATAAGCTCCAGGGCAATCCCAATGCTGTGTCTAAGGCAGAGACTGGAGCAGATATAATGGACTCTGTCCAGTCACAGGTTGTGTCAAATTCCCAAGGTGAAGCCTTGTCCGGTGCCAGGAATAAGGTCAGGGGCAAACCCAATGTCGTGTCTAAGGCAGGAGCTGAACCAGATAAAACAGGCTCTGTTCAGCACCAGGCTGTAGTGAGTTCCCTGGGTGAGGCCTTATCTAGTACTAAGAATAAGATTAAGGGCAATTCCAATGCTGTGTCTGTAACAGGGGCTGTGCCAGATGCAAGGGGCCCTGCCCCACCCCTGGGTATGGCCATTTCTCAGGGTGAGGCCTTGCCTGGTGCCAAGAATAAGGTCAAGGGCAATGCCAATGCTGCATCTAAGGCAGGAGGTGGGCCAGATACAACTGGCTCTGACCAGCTCCAGACTATGACTAATTCTCATGGTGAGGTCTTACCTGGTACTAAGAATAAGGTCAGGGATAATCCCAATACTGTGTCTAAGGCAGAGGACCAAACAGATGCAACAGGCTCTGTCCAGCCCCAGGCTGTGTTTAATTCCCAAGGTGAATCTTTACCTGTTACTAGGAATAAGGTCAAGGGCAATGCCAATGCTGCATCTAAGGCAGGGGCTGGGCCAGATGCAATGGACTCTGTCCAGCCCCAAGCTGTGACCAATTCACAGGGTGAGGCCCTGTGTGTTACTGAGAATAAGGTCAGGGATAATCCCAATACTGTGTCTAAGGCAGAGGACCAAACAGATGCAACAGGCTCTGTCCAGCCCCAGGCTGTGTTTAATTCCCAAGGTGAATCCTTACCTGTTACTAGGAATAAGGTCAAGGGCAATGCCAATGCTGCATCTAAGGCAGGAGGTGGGCCAGATACAACTGGCTCTGACCAGCTCCAGACTATGACTAATTCTCATGGTGAGGTCTTACCTGGTACTAAGAATAAGGTCAGGGATAATCCCAATACTGTGTCTAAGGCAGAGGACCAAACAGATGCAACAGGCTCTGTCCAGCCCCAGGCTGTGTTTAATTCTCAAGGTGAATCCTTACCTGTTACTAGGAATAAGGTCAAGGGTAATGCCAATGCTGCATCTAAGGCAGGGGCTGGGCCAGATGCAATGGACTCTGTCCAGCCCCAAGCTGTGACCAATTCACAGGGTGAGGTTCTCTGTGTTACTAAGAATAAGGTCAGGGATAATCCCAATACTGTGTCTAAAGCAGAGGCCAGAGCAGATGCAACCAGCTCTGCCCAGCCCCAGGTTGTATCTAATTCCCAAGGTGAGTTATTGTCTGGTACCAGGAATGAAGTCAAGGGCAATCCTAGTGTTGTGTCTAAGGCAGGGCCTGGGCCAGATGCAATGGGCTCTGTCCAGCCCCAAGCTGTGGCTAATTCTTGGGGTGAGGCCTTGCCTGGTGCCAAGAATAAGGTCAAAGGCAATGCCAATGCTGCATCTAAGGCAGGAGGTGGGCCAGATACAACTGGCTCTGACCAGCTCCAGACTATGACTAATTCTCATGGTGAGGTCTTACCTGGTACTAAGAATAAGGTCAGGGATAATCCCAATACTGTGTCTAAGGCAGAGGACCAAACAGATGCAACAAGCTCTGTCCAGCCCCAGGCTGTGTTTAATTCCCAAGGTGAATCCTTACCTGTTACTAGGAATAAGGTCAAGGGTAATGCCAATGCTGCATCTAAGGCAGGGGCTGGGCCAGATGCAATGGACTCTGTCCAGCCCCAAGCTGTGACCAATTCACAGGGTGAGGCCCTGTGTGTTACTAAGAATAAGGTCAGGGATAATCCCAATACTGTGTCTAAAGCAGAGGCCAGAGCAGATGCAACCAGCTCTGCCCAGCCCCAGGTTGTATCTAATTCCCAAGGTGAGTTATTGCCTGGTACCAGGAATGAAGTCAAGGGCAATCCTAGTGCTGTGTCTAAGGCAGGGCCTGGGCCAGATGCAATGGGCTCTGTCCAGCCCCAAGCTGTGGCTAATTCTTGGGGTGAGGCCTTACTTGGTGCTAAGAATAAGGTCAGGGGCAATTCCAATACTGTGTCCAAGTTAAAGGCTGGAACAGATACAACAAGCTCTTCTCCGCCCCAGGTTTCAGACAGTTCCCATGGTGAGGCCTTGCTTGGTGCTAGGAGTAAGGTCAAGTGCAATACCAATGCTGAATCTAAGGTAAAGGCCAGAAAAGATACAATGGTCTCTGGCCAGCCTCAGTCCATGGTCCTTTCCCAGAGTAAGATGTTGCTTGGTGCAAAGGACAAAGCTATACCCAAATCTAAAGCAGAAACCACAGAAGAAGGTGCTGCCTATAAAAATCCCAAGCCTAAGGCCATGCTCACTTCAGACAGTGAAGGTGGGACAGGTACTCTGGCCTGTGGAAAGACACAGCCTAAAGTCCATGACTATTATTGGAATGAAATTGGTATTGAAGATTGGATTGCCTCTGAGCGATGGATCAAATTTAGGTTTCAGGCCAAGGATGGATACTGGGAGAATAACATGTCCTGGGTTGATGATGAGAATGAAGCCAGTATTGAGTCCTGGAGCGGGGCTAGTGATAAGTCTGGTATTAGGTCCTGGGCTGGGGCTTGTGATGAGGCTGGCATTAAGTCCTGGCCTTGGGCTAGGGATGAGAATAAGGTTGGTGTTGAATCTTGGGATAGATCTGAGGACCAGGCCAGTGAGGATCTCTGGACTAGGAACAAGGCCATTAGAGGGTCCCGGACTGGGGCTGAGAACCAGGTCAGTGGAGGGTCTTGGGTTGGCACTAGGGACAAGGTTATTGGGGAACCCTGGACTGGAGATCAGGTCAGTGAGGGTTCCCAGGCTGGGGGCCAGGCCAGTGATGTCTCCTGGGTTGGGGAAGAGGCAATTGGAGGGTCCTGGACAGTGGCTGAGAACAAGGCCAATGGAGGGTCCTGGCCTGGAGTTCAAAAGCAGGCTAGTGGAAGGTCCATGGATGGGGATAGGATTCAGGCAAATGGAGGTTCCTGGACTGAGACAAGGGCTAGAAATGTGGCTAGTATTGGCGACTGGGCTGGCACTGTGGACAAGGCTATTGGAGAGTCCTGGGTTGGGACTGGCGATCCACTTGGTGGTAGATCCAAGCCTAGATTTGATAATCAGGCTAGTGAAAATGTATCCTGGGCTGAGGCTGGTGACCAGGGCAGTGGAAGGTCTAGGTTGGGGTCTGAGGACCAGTCCAGTGGAAGACCCTGGGCTGACACTGCAGGTCAAGCCAGTGGAGTGTCCAGTCTGGGGCCTGTGGACCAGTCCAGCAGTGGGTCCTGGCCTACGACTGGGGAACAGGCTGATGGAGGGTCTAGGCCAGGGTTTGTGGACCAGTCCAATGTTCAGTCCTGGGCTGGCACTGAAAAGGAAGCTAGTGGAAGGTCCTGGGTTGGGGCTGGAGATCAGGCAGGTAGCTGTTCCAAACCTGGATTTGAGGGTCAGGCCAGTGGAGGAGGCTTCCGAGCTGGCACTAGGAATCAAGCTGGTAGAAAATCCTGGGCTGGGTCTAGGCTGGAACCTGAAAGTCAGACAAGTGGGGGGTCCTGGGCTAGGACTAGGGACCAGGCCAGTGGAAGGTCCCAGGTCAGTGCTGGGGTGGAGGACAATGAAGGATACTGGCTTGGGGCTGGGATTGAAGCTAGTACAGGATCCTGGTTTTGGAAAGGGGAAGAGGCTGGTATTGTGTCCAGATCTGGATATAAAAATGAACCCAGTATTGAATCCAGATCAGTGACTGAGGAAGAGATTATCATTAGTTCCATATTTGAGGATGAGGACAAGGCCAGTATTGGGTCTTGGAGTAGATCTGAAGAGGAGGCCTTTATGGATTCCTTTGTGGGGGCTGAGGCCAGGAAAGAGTCTTGGCTCTGGGATGAAGATACAGCCACTACAGGGTCTAGGCTTGGGGCTGGGGAAGGGCCTGGCATGAGGTCCTGGACTTTCGCTGAGGATATAGATGAGGATGAACTAAGTAGAGCGTCTAGCCCTGATATTGAGGAGATCAGTTTAAGATCCTTGTTTTGGACTGAGAGTGAGAACAATGAGTGCATATCCAAGAGTGAGAAAAATGTCAGTTTTGAGTGTGGGGCTGGAGACAAGGATAAGCTTGAGGCTGCTGGTGGAGTTGATATAAGGTCTTGGTTCAGGGATGGTAATGAAAACAGAAGTGGAAACAAATCTGCACCTAAGACTAAAAAATCATCTGAGTCTAGAGGCACATATCCGTCCATGGTTCCTGGGGCAGGAATGGGATCATGGGCAGAAACCATGATCTGGACGGAAATGAAATATCCATACCAAAATGAACCCTGCTTACCACTTGAAGATGGCCTCAGAAAGCAGATCAGGTCCGGGGCGAAAGCTCAGCCCTGGCCTTTCCACTGTAAACACAAAACTAACATGGATCCACGAGAGCTTGAAAAACTCATTTGCATGATTGAGATGACTGAAGAACCTTCTATTCATGAAATAGCCAATAATGCTCTATTTAACAGTCCCGATTATCCGTTTTCCCATGAAGTCATTCATAATGCAGGTAGAATCTCAGTTATTGAAAGCTTGCTCAATAATCCCCACCCCAGTGTTAGGCAGAAGGCTTTAAATGCACTGAATAACATCTCGGTGGCTGCTGAAAATCACAGGAAGGTTAAAACATATTTAAATCAAGTATGTGAAGATACCGTCACCTATCCCTTGAATTCAAATGTGCAGCTGGCTGGACTGAGATTGATAAGGCACCTGACTATAATTAGTGAATATCAGCATATGGTTACAAATTATATTTCAGAATTTCTTCGTTTGTTAACTGTGGGAGGTAGAGAAACGAAAGAACATATTTTGGGTATGCTTTTGAATTTCTCTAAAAATCCATCTATGACAAAAGATTTGCTCATAGCCAGTGCACCAACATCAATAATTAATATTTTTAGCAAGAAAGAGGCAAAAGAGAATATTATTAATGCTCTTTTACTATTTGAAAATATAAATGACCATTTTAAAAGAAGATCAAGAGTATTTACCCAGGACAATTTCAGTAAAAATTCCCTTTACTTCGTATTCCAACGACCTAAAGCATGTGCCAAGAAACTTCGAGTCTTAGCAGCAGAATACAAAGACCCTGAGGTGAAAAAAAGAGTTGAGCTATTATTAAGTAAACTTTAATTAGTTGTATGTTTCCAAAAAAATCTGAGTAATATTTTGGTTTTGCATCCTGGGGGTAATACACTTTGTAAATTGCATTATAACTTTGATACTGATGTTATTTATGATGGTTTGTTGCTGGACCACTTTATGAACACCAGATTAATTCAAACTTGTACTGAAAATACATGTGTTGCTTTTTACCTTGTCTAGATTGAGATGTTTTTAGTATGCTTCATGAGCAGAAACTAAGCCAATTCTTCATAAGTAAGGTAATCTTTGGTCCTTTGTGTGGACTTATGTTTATACATTTGAGATTTTATTTTTGTCATCAATAAAGTTTGTGTTTGAAGCAGTAAAAAGACATGTCTTTTTCCTTGAGTTTGTGATCTATTTGGAAAGGCAAGAAGTACCGAAACAAAATGATAGTAACAAAACTAGGTGTCTCTGATCATGGTCAGACCCTTCGGTCAGACTCTCCCCATCAGGGCAGAAAGTTCTGTAGGTAACAGTGCTTAGGCAAAATTTTACAGAGGAGAGGAAGCTTAAGTAAGCTGGGCTTGAAGGATAGGATAAAAACAGGACAGAAGGGCATTGGAGGAGGAAGGAATGGTGGGAAGAAAGGCATGGAGGTGGGAATGCTGCTCCAGAGAGAAGGCTGGCCTGCCTGAGTACAAAGTGTGGAAGAGGGAGTGGTGAGAAATACAGTTGAGCAGTTGGAGTGAGTCGCATTCGTGGAGGGTCCCTGGTGGCTACACTGAGGTGTTTGCATATTACTCCATCCAACCCTGGATGACACGAAAGCCTTTCATGACCCTGGGAATGACAGGATGAAAGGAAATAATGTGGCTGTTTTGGTGCAGGATGGGTCTGAGTTGGGGAGGGGACAGGAGCAGCCACTGAAGATTGGAACACCAGTTAGGAAGTTACCACCATAGTCCAAGTACAAGATGATGAAAGTCTGAAATGTCACTGCTGGTCATGGGAATGATGAGAGGAAGCAAGTGAGAGACCCTTTGAACGAAGAAGTGCTGGGACCTATTCTGGGGACTACAGGGAGGGACAATTTTATTTTAGAGTCTTGAGGCATTTGATAGGAAAATGTCCTCTTTCTTGACCAACTTTGTTATTTTTATAAGTGAATACATTAGTTACTATATTTTTTCCTCTCTTTTTGGAAGGGAGGGAGGGAGGGGGAGAGAGGGCAGAACGTCAGTGTGAGAGAAACACATCGACCAGGTGCCTCCCTGACTGAGGCCAGGGATGGAACCTGCAACCCAGGTACATGCCCTTGACCAGGAATCAAACCGGAGACACTTTGGTGGGAGGGCTGACACTCTAACCACTGAGCCAGGGCTAGTTACTATTTTGAAATAAGAAAATATATCTTTAAAAATATACATATATAATAAGAAAGAATAATTTTTAGTGCTTCTATCAGATTTCTTTTATAAGGTTAGTTGAGGCAGGGCCTTTATGGAACCATTGAGAGAGCTGTTGACATTCATATTGAAGACTGTCCACCTCTCTCCCAACCTAGAGAGTGGTAAGGGTGTGGGGGAAGGGGCACTCTCAAAGTGTGCTGGTGGGAGCATACACTGGTACAAGGTCCACTTGGACACATGTTTCAGAAGCCCTTAAGATGTACTTGCTCTCCCAGCTAGCATAGCTCAGTGTTTGAGTGTTGACCTATCAACCAGGAAGTCACAGTTCGACTCCCAATCAGGGCACATGCCAGGGTTTCAGGCTTGATTCCTAGTAGGGGGCATGCAGGAGGCAGCCAATTGATGATTCTCTTTCATCATTGATGTTTCTATCTCTCACTCTCCCTTCCTCTGTCTCTGAAATCAATAAAAATATGTTTTTAAAAAGACAAAAAAGGTGTACCTGCTCTTTGACATAGTAATTCTACTGGTAGAAATTTATCCTTAGGAAATCTATACTAATAAAAGGGTAATATGCTAACTAGACTGGGTCGACTGGACATCTTCTGGAAGTCCGACTTCCTTCTAGACAAAGCCATGGTGGCGGGGGCTGAGGCAGAGAAAGTTAGGGGCGATCAGGCCAGCAGGGGAGCAAGCAGTTAGGGGTGCAATCAGGCTGGCATGGGGGAGCAAGTGGTTAGGGGCACAATCAAGCCAGCATGGGAGAGCAGTTAGGGGGCAATCAGACCAGCATGGGAGGGCAGTTGGGGGTGGTCAGGTCAGCAAGGGGGGCAGTTGGGGGTGATCAGGATGGCAGGGGAGGGCAGTTAGGGACAATCGGGCCACAGGGATTGTGCCTAAATCGGCAGTTGGACATCCCATGAGGGGTCACAGATTGGAGAGGGTGCAGGCCAGGCTAAGGGACACCCCCCTCCCATGTGCATGAATTTCATGCACTGGGCCTCTAGTAATCAAATAATTGGCTTGCATAAGACTTCACTCAGTTTTGAAGTGTGAAAAACTGTGAATGGTCAAGTGTCTCAAAATAGGCACTTAGCTAAACAAATTAGGATATGTCTACACATTGAAACATCATGCAAGTCTTGACAATGTTGATGAACACCTACACTTATTTACTTGGAAAAATTCAGCATATAATTTTACGTGGGGAAAATAGGCTGCATAAACACATATACTTTTTAGTGAAGAAAAGTATATATTTAAATGATCTCTATGTAAAAATTCTGATGTAAACTCTGAGGATATTAATAGTTGCCTATGGGTGTTAGAGTGATGGGTGATTTTATTGGTTTTTAACTCATCTGTATTTTCTGACTTTTATATAATAAACAGGGATTTTTTGCATAATTTTCCAAAAGGAAACTGATGGATTCAGGTTAAGGAGGACTATAAATAGAATTTTAGGGACCTAGATCAGAAATATAAATGGAGGTTCACATATTTGTGTCTAAATATTTAGAAGGTTATAAATATTTAGAAGGTTATAAATATTTATTTAAACTGTTAAATAAATATTATTTTTAAAAAGCTGTAAATGTTTGAAAATTTAAGTTATGTTAATCATTTTAAAAGTAAAACTATTCTCAATTCTAGCATCTGATGGCAACCAACTTTCTAATGGAAAAAATATATATCACACTTGTTGACTGTGCAATCTGTTGCCTTAATCTCCCTTCAGGAATAAAGAGCTTATTATTTTAGTGGCTAGGAGTGATACCAGCAGACATCCCTCAGCTGTCAGCCCTCTTCAGGAATTGCCTCAGTTGGAGAGTCACCTCCACCAAGGTTATACCCCCTTCCTGGGGTATTTCACATGCAATGACTGATTGACATGGACTTCTTGCTCCAAATGGCATAGTTTAATTTCTCCCTCTGTCCAATCCTACTTCCTTTCTTTTCCCTTCCACAGGTGGTGATCTCAAGAGCATTACCTAATAAAAACCCTTCATGCTGAACTCTGTCTCTGGGTCTGCTCTCCAGGAAGCCAGTCTATAGCAGTTGGTATGAGAAGCAGTTGAGGAAAGCATACATTGTGATGAAAATTTGCAGATAGATCACCTGCTGCAATGAGGACTCCATCATTGGTGGTACGTGGAGTAGATAGGCACCTGGAATAGATACGTGGCAGAGGAATTGTTACAGCTTTTTACTGAACTGGGATGGTGCTGGTGGAAGGTAATACATTAACTGGTGCCATGTAGCAGATCTTTGAGAAGTATTTGGGATATATTAAATATAAGGAAGGCCAGGAAATTGGATGGCTATTGTTGAGCTTGATTGACCTCTAGAAAAAAATAATAAAAAGCTGAAATAAAGTAATCAACTATTAAAATCTATGTCAAAAAGCCAGAGGGCTTCATTTGAGGATAAGTCCTGGGACTTAATGGAAGCAAGTTTCAAAAAAAGTTAAAATCCAAACCAAGACAAGTCTGCTATGCCATATCAGGGCCTGGAAGATATGGGACCCTGATGCATGGGATGGGGACAAGTTGGGTTAGTTTTTCACCTTGATGCTGGTTTCTTTTTGCTGTGCAGAAACTTTTTGTTTTGATGTAGGTTCCATTTGTTTATTTTTTTCCCTTTGTTTTTCTTGTCCTGGGCTTTGTGTAAGCGAAAACTCTGCTATGTGAGATGTCTGATATTTTGCTGCCTATGTTTCTTCTAGGATTTTTATGCTTTTACAACTTACATTCAAGTCTTTTATCCATTTTGAGTTTATTCTTGTGTACGGTGTAAGTTGGTGGCCTAGTTTCATTTATTTTGCATGTACCTGTCCAATGATCCCAACACCACTTAATGAAGAGACTGTCTTTGCTCCATTGTATATTCTTGCCTCCTTTGTCAAATATTAATTGAGCATAATGGCTTGGGTCAATTTCTGGGTCCTCTGTTCTGTTCCATTGATCTATATGTCTGTTCTTGTGCCAGTACCAGGCAGTTTTGAGAACAGTGGTTTTGTAATATAGCTTGATATCTGGTAATCCCTCCAACTTTGTTCTTCTTTCTCAGGATTGCTGCAGCTATTCAGGGTCTTTTTTGGTTCCATATAAATATTTGGAATATTTGTTCCAGATCTTTGAAATATGCCATTAATATTTCAATAGGGATTGCTTTGAATCTATAGATTGCTTTAGGTCAGTGGTTCTCAACCTTCCTAATGCCGCGACCCTTTAATACAGTTCCTCATGTTGTGGTGCCTCCCAATTTCATTGTTACAAATTGAACATAATTAAAGCATAGTGATTATTCACAAAAACAATATGTAATTATATATGTGTTTTCCGATGATCTTAGGCGCCCCCTGTGAAAGGGTCGTTCGACCCCCAAAGGGGTCGCGACCCATAGGTTGAGAACTGCTGCTTTAAGTAGTATGGACATTTTAATTCTACCAATCTATGAACACGGTATATTTTTCAACTTGTTTATATCTCTTATATCTTTTTTCAACATTCTGTAGTTTTCTGAGTATAGGTCTTTTACCTTCTTGGTTAAGTTTATTACTAAATATTTAATTTTTGGTTGCAATGGTAAATAGGATTGTTTTATTAGTTTATCTTTCTGAGAGTTCATTATTGGTGTATAAAAATGCCACTGATTTCTGGGTGTTAAGGGATAGATATTTTGATAGTTGATACAAACCCTATATTGGTTCCTTGACTTGTGGAGCTATTTATAAATTAGAAGGCCAAGTGGAAGCTTCTGAAGCTGCTCTCCCTTTTTTTTGGCCAAGATAGCAAATGAAAACATAGCATCTTTGGGAGGATGGCAGAAGTTAGTGCCACCTTTAAAGACCTAAAGAATGCTGGGGTGAGGTCCCATCATATTTCCATTTCATGTGCCAGTTTGGTCACTGGAAGAACGTTGTCATAGCCTGGTA